GAATAAGGAAGACCACAGAAGAATTGATGCTTTTAAATTATGATGTTGGAGGAGAATATTGAAAGTGCCATGGGCTGCCTAAAGAACCAGCAGATCTGGGTTGGAAGAAGTGCAGCCAGAGAGCTCCCTGGAGGCCAGGATGGCCAAATTTCATCTCTCATACTTCTCAGGAGGGACCAGTCACTGGAGAAGGATATCATATTTGGTAAGGTGGAGGGTCAGAGAAAAAGAGGAAGACCACAAGTGAGATGGATGGGCAAAGTGGCAGCATCAATGGGCTCAAATGTGAGGTTGGTCCAGGACCAGGCAGTGTTTTGTTCTGTCATGCATAGGGTCACTGTGAGTCAGTACCAACTCAATGGCACCTAACAACCACCACCACCACCACCACCACAAAGATTTACGGTCTTGGAACCTTCTGCTGGGTCCCTATGAGTCTGAAAGGACTCCATGGCAGTGAGGTTTCACTTTTGGGTATACCTGTGGTTATAACTCTGTTTGGGACTGGGTTTTCCTTGTTATTCTAAAGAGGCTGTATTAGTGCAGGGTGTGTCTTGAATCAGTTTCTCCTGCCGTATAAAGTAACAAGTAAGGACGTAATCACAAGCAGGGGTAGGGGAAGAGAGATGCCACACCATACGTATGAAGATCAAGGGACCCAAGGACAGAAGCCGAAAAAAAATAAGCATCTTCCCTTTGAGCCAACACATTAATTGAGACATGGACCCACACTCATGGAAGCAGCAGTTAAGAAACCAAACAACGATTGATTACATTCGGCAAACCTGCTGCACAAAATCTCTTTACAGTGTTCAAGAGTAAAGCTGTCACTTTGAGGACTAAAGTGCACCTCACCCAAGCCATGGTATTTTCAATAACCTCATATATATGTGAAATTTGGGCAGTGAATAAGGAAGAGCACAGAAGAATCGATGCATTTGAGTTATGGTGTTGGAGGAGAATATTAAAGGTACCATGGAATGCCAGAAGAACAAACAAATCTTCTGTTTCCAAGGATGTCTGGTGGGTTTGAACCACTGACCTTGCAGTGAGCAGTCCAGTGCTTATCCCACAGCTCCACACCATGTACCTTACACTTTCCCAAGTTCTTGAACTTACTGTATAACTTTACAACTTGAAGATAAACACTGTGAGTAGATACTATCATTCATACTTCATAATAATGAAAATGCAGCTCAAATAAGCTATCTTGTTCAGGATCACACATTTGGTAACTTCCAGACCTAGGAAATACCATCTACAGACTACACACTCCCCTCTTCCCGACCCAGATCCAGTACTCTTTCTCCTCCACACTGAAGTTTATTATAGAACTGCAATAATAATAGTACTGATGATAATGTTAACAGTAACAATATTGTTGTCACTGTCGAGTTGGTTCTGACTCATAGTGACCTTGTATAGGGTTTCCAAGGAGTGACCAGTGAGTTTGAATCACCAACCTTGATGTTCAAACTGACCTTGTGGTTGAATGCTTATCCTACAGCGCTACATTTACTCAGTACTCATTGCATGCAAAGCACTGATAGGCACTTTACATGTTAAGAATTCATTCAGTCCTCAAACTACCCAAGGACAGAGGTACTCTTATTATCTGCAATTTACAGAGGAGGAGACTAAGTCAGTAGAAGGTTAGTAACTCACCCAAGGTCAACCATTTGGTTTGGGCAGAGCCAGGATACTGATATACTTAGGAACTTGGGCTCCAGGTCCTGAATTCCTAACTATGATCCTAAATCCCTGTTTGATATTACACAGTTTCTATCTGCTTTCAGTAAACATTTTAGTTAAACATAAATGAATAAGTGAATACCATCTTAAAATTGAGGGTAAATTTGTAAAATTTCGTTATCAATAATTGTCAGTTTTTGAAAGACAGTCAAGTGGCTTGTGGCTCTGGAAGTAGCCAATGACCATCTTTTGTAAGGTCCATGTTTTACTTATGAATAAGAGGTCCAGTACTGCAGATTAACCAGTTAATGCCTAAAAGCTTCTGCTTCAGGAGCACCACATATTTCTCCAGAAAGGCTCAGAGCAGGTAGGCCAAGGAAGCTTCCCTTACCTGGGGTGGTTGTAGGCTATCTGTCTGAACTCATCGTTCCAGTTGGGTCTTCCATAGGAGGTTTTTTGCCTTAAGCCCGTAATCACATCGGTCTTTTCATCCCAGTGTAAAGCTATGTGAATAGCCTAAAGTAAAAATTGTGGGATTAGATGACATTTGGGAAAAAAAAACAGCACCTTCTATCTACTTAATAAAAAAGAACTCTGGTAGATACTGCTCTCATACAATATTTGTCCTTTTATGATTGACTTAATGTCTTCCAGATTCATCCATGTTGTGAGATGTTTCATAGATTCATAGTTATTCTTCATTGTTGTGTAGAATTCCATGGTATGTATGTACCATCGTTTGTTTATCGATTCATTCACTGACAGGCACTTGGGTTTTTCCATCTTTCTGCTATGGTGAATAATGTTGAAACAAACATCGGTGTGAACATGACTATTTATGTCACAGTGCTTATTTCTGTAGGATATATACCTAGGAGTTGGATCGTTAGATCATATGGTATTTCTCTCTCCTGCTTTTTAAGGATGTGCCATACCATTTTCCATAGTAGCTGTACTATTTTACAGTACCACCACCGGTGTAAAAGATTGCCAATTTTTCCACATCCTGGAACTTTTTTTTTTTTTTAAATGTACTTTTGATCAGTGCCATTATTATTGATAATGATGATTTGCATCTCCAATGTGTGGTGCTGTAGGATAAATACTGGACTGCTAACCACAAGATCGGTGGTTCAAACCCACCAGATGCTCTTTGGGAACCTTGTACAGGGTTGCTATGATTCAGAACTGACTTTATTGCATTTAACAACAACAGCAATGGCTAGTGACTGTGAGCATCTCTTCATGTGCTTGTTGGCCACCTGAATGTCTTCATGTGCTTGTTGGTCACCTGAATGTCTTCATGTGCTTGTTGGTCACCTGAATGTCTTCATGTGCTTGTTGGCCATTTGAATGTCCACTTTTGCAACATGTCTGTTCATGTCCTTTGCCCATTTTTAAAGTTGGATCATTTTTTCATGTTGAGGTGTAGGACTCTTCCATAAATTTTAGAGGCTAAACCCTTGTCTGATATGTTGCTGCCACTTCCCCTCTGATACTGTAAGTTCTCTTTCCTTCTTTTGGTGAAGCCTTTTGATGAGCGTAAGGATTTCGTTTTTAGGAGATCTCAGTTATCTAGTTTATTTTATGCTCTTGGGACACTATTACTTAGGTTTGATATTCTATTCATGCCATAAATTAGGATCCCTAGATCTCATTTCTTATTTTGGTTACTTGTATCTGCTCATACTTTTTCTTTGTCAACTTGGCCAATAGTTTGTTGATTTTATTGAGCCTCTCAAAAGGCCAGTTGGAAGCATTATTGATTCTTTCCATAGCTTTTCTGTTTCTGAATTTTCTTGTGGGGACTTTGAGGTTTTCTATGTATAAGATAATGTCATCTGTGAATAGAAGTAGTTTTACTTCTTCCTTACCAATTTGGATACCCTTTATTTCTCTTTCTGACTTTATTACTTTGACTAGAACTTCTGATAAATATTAAATACAAAATGGTGATTAAGAAATACATTTAATTGATTTCTTCTCTAATCTTTATTACTTCTTTTCTTTTGGCAACTGTGGTCTTCTTTTGCCCGCTGACATTTCTTTTGATTCAAGGAGAAAACATTAGATTTGTCTTTTCTTGATCATATTCTCCTATCTCAAAAGGTAGCTAGCTGTCTATAAGGTTCTAATCTCAGCTGTCTTGATATCCTTTAGATTCCTACTCCTCAAAGACCTTCTATTTTAATAGTCCCAACTATCATGATCTATAAACTAGTACACTATCTTTTTCTCTCAAGTTCTCTTATCTTCCTATATATGTATAATTCTGTATTTAGTGTAGAATTAAGTCCAATGGATTATCATAACTAAAATTGAATCACCTCTCTCCTCAAATTAGTCACGACTTTAATTTACTTACATGCACCCATCTTGAGTGACCATTGTAGGCAGGCAATGTACTATGAACTGAGTGATACGAATAGGGAAAGAGATGTCTCTGCTTTGTGACAAAATGGTCATAGAATGGAAGGAAAAATCATGTGTACAACTACAATGCTATGAATGATCCTTTTCTTGTAGGAATAGATAAAAAATGAGTAAAGATAATGAAGTATAGACATGCATGGCATGATGGGAAGGCAGGGGTAGTTTAGAAAATGGTGGCTGGGAGGGTAGAACAAGTGAATTGGGGACTCGTTGGGAAGGGCCTTATGTTACTTGCAAAGAAGTTTGGCTATTTAGAAGAGAATAGGCCTTCCCTACGTCTCTGGATGTTATCCTCGATCTACCAATCACAGGTAGATTGAATTATATTTGGAATTATATTTGTTTCACATCTTTCAGCCTAATGTTCAATTACTCTCAAAGCCTGCTGATGTGCCCTTCACACTACCTCTTCCATCTGTTCTTTCTGTTCTTGTCATTCTGCCACTTTGAGGTTGTCAAATTGAGTTGAACAATTGGCCATTTCTAAAACATCTCTTGATACCTTGTTGACAGAATACACCAATTTTTTTCCACCTCTTTAAATGTTTACATTGGCTATGTCCTCCTTGAAATTTGGGAACCTAAAGTATTTCCAATATGTCTTGGCAATTAAAAAAAAACCACATTTATTTCAATTGACTTGTATTCGGGGTGGTGGGGGTGGGGTGGGAAAGAATATATTTTATAGTGTGATTTAAAAAATGGCAAAGATGGGATGGGGAAGGTGTATGCTGTCACAAAAAACACACAGTCTGTCTCCCAGCTCCAAAGACTTTGGACCATTTTCACATTAGAAGCAGAAAAGCGAGTATATTACCAGTAAGCAAAAGACAAGGCTGTGTCTATCTTTTACCAAATGGATCATTAGTCAAAAATCCCATTTGAATAAAGAAAATGTTTGTTTGGAAAACATAATTAGCGCTATTAAATTCATTAAGATGCTTCAAGCCTAGTTCCCAAGAAACCTATATTTCAGATTTTCCCAGAGGAATAAGATATTTAAGGAAGATTGCAAATAAGACCATAAAAATTCATTTAGCTACAGAATTTCAAACCAAGTCTTATTCATTTACAGTAGTACAGAGTCAAATTACAGTGATGTTTTATAGGGCCCATAAGAGAGGAGACACTAGGCCCCAGCTTCAGTGTGAGCACTGATTTGTGAATTTAAAGATTAACTCAAATACCTCAACTCTTGTATGCTTTCCTTAAAAGTAGTAGCTACCAGCAGTAGCTGTTATAGAGTGCTCATTAGAATATTCATCCTGTAACTTAGCAATGTTGTTGTTAAGTGCCTTCCCTTCAGTTCCTACTCATAGCGACCCTGTATAGGGTTTCTGAGGAGAAGATGTTCGAACTGTAGACCTTGTGGTTCACAGCTGATCCTACTGTGCCTCACCCAGACTCCAACCTAGCAATGTTGTTGTTGTTAAGTGCCGGTGGGTTGGTTCCGACTCATAGCCACCCTGTATGGGATTTGAACCACCAACGTTGTGGTTCAAACTGACCTTGCAGTCCAGCACATTACCCTGCAATGTCACACCAGGACTTCAAAAGTACTAGTTGGTTAGGTGCCATGGTGTCGGTTCTGACTCATAGTGACTCTGTATATGGTTTCCGAGGCTGTAAATCTTTCGGGAGCAGAAAGCCTTATCTTTCTTCCTTGGAACAACCTGGAGTTTCAAACTGCTGACCTTGAGGTTAGCAGCCCAACTCATAACCATTATGCTTCTAGAGCTCCTTAACCTAGCGACTGTTGTTGTTGTTAAGTGCCCTCAAGTCAGTACCGACTCACAGCGACTCACATAGGGTTTCCCAGGAGTGACTGGTATGATTGAACTGCCAACTTTGAGGTTCAAACCGACTATGCCGTCTGGAGCATTAACTTGCAGCGCCACACCAGGACTCCTAATCCAGCAATATTCATCCCATAATCCTTAAAAAGGAGTTCTGAACTGTCAAATCGGATTAAACCACAAGGTTGGCAGTTCAAGCTTACCAGCTGCTCCTCAGAAACCCTATACAGGGTCACTATGGATCAAAACGGACTCGATTGCACTTAGCAACAACAAAACTCCTTACAAAAGGATTAGAATATAATGGTTATCCATCAATATTATCAACATTAAAATACTACCATAATGCAATATTTTGGTCTACTCAACCTTGTTGTTATAAGAGCTGTTGAGTTGGTTCCGATTCATAGTGACCCTGTATAGCATTTCCGAGGAGCAGCTGGTGGTTTTGAACTGCTGACCTTGTGGTTTGCAGTCCAGTGCTGGTCCTACAGCGCCACACCAGGGAGTCCAAACTCAACCATAAGAAATCACTAATACTCTTGATCTCACCCAGTCCAACCCACTGTCAGGAATATATGTGGACTCACAGCACATCTACAGGACAGAGTAAAACTGCCTCTTTGGGTTTCTAGACTGTAAATCTTTAGGGAAGCAGACAGCTTCCTCTTTCTCCTTTGGAGTGGCTGGTGGGTTTGAACTGCTGGCCTTGTGGTTAGCAGATTAACACATAACCCACTACACCACCAGGTCTCCTTATCTTCATCTTGGTGGTGGGGTAAGTGCCATCGAGTGGATTCCGACTCATAGCGACCCTGTATAGGGTTTCCAAGAAGCGACTGGTGGGTTTGAACCCCCAACCTTGTGGTTAGCAGTCCAGTGCTGATCCTACAGCACCACACCAGTTGAATAAAAATATATGCACACCATTTATAGGAACTCCTTAAGAAAAAGAGATCTGTATAAATCATGTATTCATAATAATTACTTTCTATGGAAACGCATGTACTTTATAATACATGATTTTGAAGATAAAAGCCTAGGAACTTTTTCTATTTAACTCTGAACTGAGAGCTCCAATCTGGAGGACTAGAGCCAATTAGGACTTTAACCAAATACTATAGCCAATCAATAACATTTGCTTGATGCCACTCTTAAAATGACAAATGCCATTTTTAATGATATCATTTATCTTAGCTTTCCAAATTTAGGGCTGTCCTTCATCAACCAACCTCTTTATCTTCTCTTCTATTCCTTGCAAGCTAACTGCAGGATCTCTATTGCTACAATTTGAATAGTTATTTCTAATCTGGTCTTATTTTATCCTCCTTTCCTTTTTAAGAACATAGAATAATTCTTGCATGTTACTAACGATATAGTTCATTGTTGAAAAGATCCCTCTTCTCTTTGCTCTATTGTTAGAAGCATTAGGTAATGCTGCTTGTTCTCAGTGCCTTATCAATACCTGATTTTCATCCCAGCCAGTGAGAAATATACGGTAACTCAGGAAGTTAACTTCCCCTCTCTCACTCATTTGTGTCTCCAGTGAAAGTAAGAGATCTGCGAACCACTCAAAAGCTCTCACATCCCGGCAAATCCAGTAGAAATACACCTGTCAAGAGAGAAAGCAAGAGAAACCATGGGTCCTTTTTTCATAATGTGCTGATAATCACAGACTACTTTATCTCCACTGAAATTACTGGAGCCCAAATGGGCACTTCTCTAAAATAACATGCTTTTCTCTGCCAGGGAACAAACAGTCTCACTGTGATTTCTTTTTGGTGGAAAAAAAAAAAAAATATCACGTGATGTTTGAAAGAGCCCAGAGTGAATTCCGAGAGCTGGCAGGCTGTGGGCTGTTGCCAGTTTCCTGGATGAGGATCAATTCACCACATTGTTGGCTGTGCTTTTTCAGAACAAGATTAATAATCATAACTAGCTATGCCTTTCTCTGTTCCCCAAGCTGGGATAAACCGTGAGACCCACCCCCTTCATCTTTACTTATGACCTAAGCTCAGGATTTGAACTCTGCTCCCCAGAGGCCCCGAAGGCTTGTGCACTAATCCACTTCTGCAGCTGCAACCTGGGGAGAGTGAAGTGTGTAGTAATTGCAGACTCAAATCACAAAGGGCAGAAATCTCCCTTCAGCCAGATGTATCGACGCCTAAGAAAGCTGGTGGGTGATGGCTGGGCTTGTGTGTTGACTGCTGTATTGAATCACTGTCTAGGAAGACACACACCCTCTCTCTTTTTACAGTTCATGCGAGACTTCTGAGTTTAACAAATGGATTGTGACGGGAAAGGGTTTGGGTTTGCATACAACGAAGGCTTCATATTTGTGCTGAGTTTCAGATGATTGCCTTTGAAAGAAGCCAATCCTCACCTGAGCTGCCTCCACTCTTTCCTGCATTTCCTCCCCAAGGAGACATCAGTATCTTTCCTGGGAACCCTCTGAATCCCTGGGTGGTACACATAGTTTACACGCTCAGCTGCTAACCCAAATTTGGATGTTTGAGTCCATCCATGGGTATCTGGGAAGAAAGACTAGGAAATCTACTTCTGAGGAGTAACACTCTGGAAGACAGGGTTCAAAGGTTCGCAGGGGCCGGTCTCCATTCCAGGGTCTGCCTTGGTGCCTTCCCACCAGGAAATATCCCTCCAGCATTCTCTCCTCTCCCCTCTTGGCCAGCCTGCCTGCAAACTCATCAGCATACCATAAAAGTTATAGAGGAGATTTAATTAACAGATCAAATTCAGGAGGAAAAAAAATCACAGAATGTATTTCAAGGCTAAACATCTTACCTTTTCTCTTCAGGTTTATGTATGAATCTACAATATTCAAATCTATAATATTCAAATTCAGGAGGAGGACAAACTCATTTCCCTCAAGGTTGAGAAGCTGTGTGGCTACTGGGTAGCTGCTGTACTGAGAGGCACTTTTGATGCTAATTATAGGCCAAATGATCCCTCAGTTCCTAAGCATGATTACTCCCCACAAGGAGAGCCTCTCTCCTCTCCCTGAGCCTCCTCTCTCCCTGGACTACGTAAAATGTGCCCGTGGTCCCTGTGATACCCCCATTAGTACTGTGGACATGAGCATGCTCATCTGCTTCTTCATTAATTCAATAAATATAAGATGACTTTAAAAAGCTCTTTAAAAAATAAGGTGAAAAGATCATGGATTTTTACCATGAACGTTGGAAGCTTCCACATATGTATTGGCCACTTACTGTATGTCAAGGGCTGTTCTAAACTCTGGAACTGTAAAAGCCAGAAAACCAAAGCAGTTACCATTAAGCTGGCTCTGACTTCCGGTGTCCCCATGTGTGTCTAAGTGTGCTCCGTAGGGTTTTCAGTGGCAGTGATCATTTGGAAGTAGATCACCAAGTCTTTCTTCCTAGGTGCCTCTAGATGCATTTGAATTGCCAACTTTTAGGTTAGTATCTGATTGCTTCACCAATTGTATCACCCAGGGAGCCCTCTGGAATTATAACCATGAACAAAAAAGACCAAAGGGATTTTTAATGGTGAAGAAGGACAAAGAAAACATGAAATACATCAAATGGTGCTGAGTGTGACAGAGAAAGCTCAGCTAGTCTGTTAAAGTGGAATGGCCAAGGAGGACTCGCTGAGAAGGAGACATTGGACATGGAGCTGGAGGTAGTGAGGGAGTCAGATGGTCAGAGGAAGAGCCATACGGATGGAGGGAACAAAACGTGAGCCCCTAAGGTGGGACCCTTCTAGAAAGAGCAGGGAGGATCACTCAGAGCGGCAGTAGTTGGGGCTAGCAGGGAAGAATAGGAGGTGTGAGTTCTAGGGGGAGATGGAGGCCTTGTGGAGATATTGACTTCCACTCTCAGTTGAGAAGGCACTGATGGATGCTAAGCAGAGGCATGGCATGATCTTAGGCATGTACCTGAAAGATTCCTCTGGCTGCTCTGCTGAGCATAGACTGGGTAGCATAGTGAGTGGTGGTGGTGGTGGTGGGGTTGTAGAAGTAGAATAGAGAACAGTTAGGAGGTTGATTTTACATCCTATGCTGGTGATGGACACTGCTATCTCTTTTCCTTTCAGTTTGTGGAGTGTCTAATTGAAGTTAATTTTAGAAAACCTTGTTGTTGTTAGGAGCTGTTGAGTCAGTTCATACACAACAGAATGAAACACTGCCTGGTCCTGAACCTTCCTCATAATCGTCATGTTTGAGCCCATTGCTGCAGCCACGGTGTCACTCCATCTCCTTGAGGGTCTTTCTCTTTGTTTTGCGGACCCTCCACTTTACCAAGCATGATGTCCTTCTCCAGGAACTGGTTTCTCCTGATAACATGTCCAAAGTACATGGGAAGAAATCTTGCTGTCCTTGCTTCAAAGTATGTTCTGCCTGTTCTTCTAAGACAGATATACTTATTTTTCTGGAAAGCCTAAGCCTTCACTTACACTTGGCTTGCTCCTTGTAGGAATGGAAAAAATACTAAATCGAACACAATGCTCACATATGCACCTCCTCCTTCCCACCCCTTTCTGCTCTTAGTTGTGGATAAGTGCCGTCGAGTCAGTTCTGACTCATAGCGACCTTGTATGGGTTTTTTGCAGAACGGCTAATGAGTTTGAACCCCTAAGCTTGGGTTCAAACGGACCTTGCAATCTAGTGTTTATCTTTGTTTTATCTAAGAGCATTGATGGTATCATTTAGCAGAGAACACACATCATTTGATTATTTTCTAAGACTTCCCACCCTTTAAGGAACATGCTTTACACGCATTTATATATGAGTAATAAGAAAAAAAACCATTAACTTTTCCTTTTATTTAACTTTTCAATTTCAAATCCAGTCCCAACCACCCTGACCTGTGAAATGCCCACATCTTAGCTTCCTCCACCCACTCATCCTTTGCCTTTCAGTTAGAAATTATTCCTGGCTTCACTGTCTTGTGGTGTAGCTGTGTGTCACTGTTTCTAGGGTTTGTTGAGTCTTTTCTATTTTCTTTTTTCCTTCCCTGTAAGGACCTTGTGTGTGTGTTTTCTCTGCAATTGACTCATAGGTGACACAGAGCATCTTTGGAGCAAGAGGCAATGGAGGGAAAATGAATAGCCTCAGTGGAAAGTGCTTCAGGCAGAAAAAGAAGAAAGTAGACTTTGAACAGAGGAGAAAGGGTATTTACTGAATCCCTTTCATCTCTCTAATGATGGGAAATACCTATTAGGAGGGACAAGAGCGGCCCCCTTCTGCATTTTGTCCAGTAGGATGTCCCTCATCGATAGAGGAACAAGGGTCTCTAACAGTAGGCTACGACTCTGTGATCTGTGTTCTCTAAGATGACCCTGACCCCTAATCTCCACAAATAAAAGCACCCTAAAATCAGTCACCTGTTTCACAATCCTATTTTACAATCTACCTATGTCTGTCTTCATCTGTCTCTCTAGTGGGTTTTGGTGTCTCAGTGTTAGAGTTCTCTGCTCCCGGGCCAGAGCTCTGAATTTAATGCTAGTCAACGCACCTCAGGCTGCCACTGCAAAGCTTGTTTGTTGCTATGATGCTGACCAGATTTCAGTGGACCTTCCAGCCTAAGATGAACTAGGAAAAAAGGCCTGGAGACTTATACCCATAAGTTAGCTAATGTAAACTCTATTGATCACTTCAATCTAATCTGCAACTGATCACGGGAAAGGCATGGGGGACTTTTTCTTTCTTTTGTGCTTAAAGTTTTTTTTTAAGAGTAGGGGCTGACTTGAGGATAGCTCAAAACACCACCTACCTATCCATCCACTCATCCATCCATCCATCCAGCCAGCCAGCCAGCCAGTCACTTATCTATCATCTATTTATCATCTTTTTATTTATTTATAGCATTAGGCATCTCCAAAGAAAGAAATTACATATGGAGATGCAGGTTTAGATCTGGTGTAGCATAGTACGTAAAGCACTTACAGGAATCCTGGTGTGGTACTGCAGGTTAATGTACTGGACTGCAAAGTCGGTTCGAATGGCAAAGTCGGTCATTCATTCCTCGGAAACCCTATACAGGTTTCTAGGAGTCAGAACTGACTCGGTGGCACTTAACAACAAAAAGTACTTAAAAGTTGGTGAGCACTTGAATAATAGTCATCTGGCTTCATCATTTGTGAGTTGTGTTACTTGGGGACAAGTCATTTAACTCAAGCCTAGCTCACCACATGGAGTTAATGAGCTGGACGGCAAAGTCAGTTTGAGCCACGAGGTTGGCAGTTCAAGCTCACTAGCTGCTCCTTGGAAACCCTATACAGGGTTGCTGGGTTGAAACTGACTCGACGGCATTTAACAACAACAAGCTCACTGCATATGTGAAATGACTGTAAACACAGAACAACAATGCACTGTGTTGTTATGAAGAGTAAGGAATATAGTTTATGGAATGATGCAGCTGTTATTGTCAAGGTATTCCTGGATGAAACAATAGATAAAAAACATTTGAAGTAAATAATTATCCTTACTGAAAACCTCCCTAACCTATATCCCAACTCCAGTTGGGGCTTATTTTAAAGAGATAAAATGATCCATTTGTTTTCCTGGTTAGTCATAGTAAGATTAGGATCCACCTTTGTCAATTATTTTCAGTCTTTGTTGTTAATAGTCAT